ACGCTTAGTTGCTTACCTGGAAGGCGAAGGGAAACAAAATGAAACAAAGGGAGGACCCGATCAGCAAGCGCGATGCGACAGCTGCTCGGGAACAAGAAAGACCTGCTCAGTGAGCGGTGGGCTGGGCTAGTTTAGTGTGGATGGGCAGGGGAGCGAGTGAGCTACAACGGAACGGGCAGGGCGAGCAAGTGAAAGGGCCGGGGCAGGTGTTTTGGAACTTACTTCCGGGTCCACTGGTGGGACCTCTTCTAACCGGTTTGGTAGATTTGACGAACCGGTTCTACCGAACTGGTGCGAACCGGTAGGAACCCACCTCTGTCCCAAGCTGGACTTCTCTGGTGGCTTCCATGGTAATTTTTTTTGCTTTGCTGGCATTGTCAGCCCTGCTTTTGGTTTGGGTGCAGCCGCCAAGCATTCAGTTGCTCAGTATCCTGGCTGGCCACATTGAAAGTATTGGATGGGGATTCGGGTTGGTCTTGTGGAAACACTGGTGGGATGGATGAAGCCGATCATCTCTTGGGTGGTTCAACTCAGAGGTTCTCACTTCAGAGTTGCTCCTTGGCCCAGTGCTGTGGTGGCCTGGTACCACTCTTGTAGCTGATTGGGGAGGCCTCGATATGCGCAAGCCTCTCATAGCCCCCTATTGAGGCTGTCTTTGAAGTGGAAGATGAGCATCTCTTCTGGCCAGTGCTCCCCATGACCCTCTGGAATACTTGAATGTATTCCTTCACTTGACAACCCCTTTGTTTTATCTCACCTCCTCCATTACTTCCAGCCAGTTCAGAGGTTCCACTCACTGGATGCCCATGTAGTCAAACCACTCTGTTAGCTGCTCTATAAAAGATGTCCGAAGCATGGTCAAGTATTTCCACTCTCTCAGCTCATCACAGTCTACCATTTTCCATTCCCTCCACTGCATGGGTTGGGCCCCCATGTACATGGGTGCTCTACAGGGAGTTAGACTTGCTCTGCTCTGATGGCTCTCTTCCACCAGAATTTGTGGGACAGGGGCTTCCCTCATTGCTGATTCTTCCCATGCCTGTCAGATTATGCTCCTCCAGCCACACTTTCAGCCATGCAATCACCAGTGGGGTGGTCTTGTTCATTTGGACTCCTGCTTGCATTACCACTGGTTCCTTCACTAGCTTGTTGGCAGCGTCCTTCCCCTTCTTCTCAGCTATCTCTCCCTGAGGATTTCTCTTCCCCTTGAAATGACCAGGTAGAGGACTGGGGCTCAGGAATCCTGGAGGTTTGATGAGTTTAAAGAGTGTTGGTTTAATGTCATGGTTCTGAGTAATTCTCCCAATCAATTCAAGATTCTGAGGCCATGGCTTCCTCAAAACTCCTGTTTATTGGGTACATCTTATCGGCACAGTCAAATGTGAAACCAACACTGAATAATTCCCATACTTTGGTATAATTAAAGAATAGATACACCCCACCCCCTTTGTTTCACAGGTCAGGTAAGCCAACCAAGCAGGTGATGAACTTCTTAGCATCCCCTCCTGCCATTGCTAGGGCACGTTGATCTGGCCTTGGTTCCTAGGAGCCTTATTATTGTTATGTCTGCCACGTAAGAGGAAAACACTACATTTCATAATCCCCTCCACCTCCAAGCATGGCAAGAAAAATATGGCTTCAGCTAGAGTCATTTCATGAATTGACAGTGGCAGTGTTTGCCTGAGCTCTTCTGGATTCCTGACTATTCACATGCCTGGAAATGAGGAGGGGGAAGAGGTGACATGAGAGACAGGAGGATAAAAGGGGGAGGTTTGGTGAAAAATGGGGGAGAAAAAAGGAGGACATAGGAGGAGGAAGAGAGACAGAGAGAGACAAGCAAGTGGAGAGACCATGGAAGAGGCAACATGGCGATAGCAGAGGCAGCAAAAGAAGAGAGAAAAGAGGGAAAAAGAGGTGGATGTCCATAGCAAGGAGCCAGGGAAGAGGAGTGACTGGATAGCCAAGGAGGAGAAAGGAGAGAAGAGGAGAAGGGCTTATCAGCTGTCCTGCCACCACCCCACCATGATCCCTGCTGGTGAAGTGGGAAGGACTGCATGAGGTGCCCCACCATGATCACTCAGTTCTATAACTGATTTGCCTCTGAAGCTATATAGTCGTTTTCATTAGCCTTTAAAAAAATAGGATATAGACTTATTTCACTTGGTGAAACCAAATTTAATTAGCTATTTTTGACCCACAGTTGAAAATGGGGCTCTTTGTTATTGGCATAAAAGAGAAACCCAGAAATGAGGGAGATAAATAAAGATGGATTTGTAAAGCTCTAGCATTGTAGTTCCCCTGTTCCCCTGTTCCCAAGCAAATCCCTTTTAAGACATAAACAACTAAAGGGAACAGATAAGCACCACTCTTCATGTTTCTATACACATGAAAATTTTCCAAATAAAAAGCAAGAATTTGGCACCAACAGATTTAAATCTGAACACAAACGCAAACTCTGGCTTACATATGTTGATGACACTTTCGTGATTTGGCCACATGGGAAAGAAAAACTGGATAACTTCCTCACACATCTCAACAGCCTACACCCCAAAATACAATGCACCATGGGAATAGAAGCTAACAACCAACTTCCCTTTCTGGACGTCCTAATCTACAAAAAAAACCCAGTGGCTCCCTAGGACACACCATCTACCAGAAAAACACACACACCAATTGCTACTTAAATGCCCAATCCCATCACCACCCTGCACAGATCAACTCTGTAGCCAAGACACTCATCTCCAGAACCAAACGCCTATCTAACAAAGACCACCTGAAAACTGAATTATACACTCTCACAAACGTATTAATTTCCAATGGATTTCAAAGAAAACCAATTACCATCCTAATCCAAAGGGAGACTCCCCTCCAAAAAAAACAAGACACAGAACAGGACAGCAGCATCGCCCTCCTCCCTTACATCAAAGGGACCACAGATAAAATCAGCAAAATTCTCCACAAACACA